CACAGGATGGGTACGGCTGTATTGGGGAGCTTTTTGCCTGGGCTGGCATCGCGATAATAATCCATACATGAGCTATAACCAAACATCAGAGACGTGAAGCGTTCGTCAAACTCACGGATGGACCGAGCCTACAAGAGGGTGTGAAAACAAGATGACGATGAATGGAAAGTCAATTATACATCTAAGAAACTGACAAACTGTGAGTAATAATGTATCATACCTTCAGGACATAGTCAACATCCACCACTTTCTCTAAAATCTTCCTGTGCCTGTGAGAAACAGATTTTTGTTTTTTATTTAACTGGATTTACAAACGCAAATGTAGGTTTAGCAACCATAACTTATCCGACCTGTTGAGAATTTGGTGCAAGGATTTCGTGATGTGCCTGTTGAAGAGCAGCCAGTTGAGCGGTTCCTCCATCGAGCTGGAGAACTTCAATGCATCCCAGGGTACGGAGATGGTGATACCGGCAACCAATCCTGACTCGGTGCGCTTACAGGCCAGGTAGTTTAACAACACCATGCTGCAGCAGGGTGAGAAGAAAGGGATTATAAAATTGTTGAAAAAATAATAATAAAAGAAATGGAGGAAAGACACAGACGGCAAATCTAGGTCAAGAAATGGAGGCCAGCGGAAACACTATGCACCAACTCACCCTCCCAAAGACACACCAGCCCCAAGCACAGGAGCACTGGGGTAGAGCCCTTTGACATGCTGCACCACACACTCAAGATCTGAAGTATTGGCAGCACAGTAGGTGACTGGTGTCTGAAGCAAGCAGAGGGATACAGGAGGGGAGTTACATGCAGCGCTTAAGCCTCAGATCTTCTGTTAGTGCCATTACTGCTGTGAAATGGTGCACTGAGGATGACGTTCTCCATATTTATATTAAGAAATACACCAAAACCAACTATGCCTGAAGAAATTAATCTTAGAAAACTGGTCACAAATGCATTGTTTTGTTGGGTCAAAAGCTTGAACTTTTTGGCCTCAATGTCAAGCTTTATGTCTGGAGGAAACCAGGCAGCCAATACCATGACATCAAATTTAGCGCGGTGGTGGCAGCATCATATTGTGCGGATGTTTTTTGTGAGATTAGTCAGGGTCAAGGGCAAGATAAACTCAGTAATATATCAAAACATCCTGCCCCAGAGTGCTCTGGAACTCATACTGGGGTAAAAGTTCATCTTCCAACAAAGCACACAACCAAACAAACAAAGGAGTGGTTTCCACTCAGCAAATGTCATTGACTGGACCAGCCAGAGCCTAGACTTGAACCCAATTGAATGTCTCTGGAAAGATCAGAAAATTGGTGTATGCCAACCTTCCCCCTCCAATTGGATAGAAAAAAGAAGAATGGGAGAAACTGCCTAAAGGTTAGCGTGCCAAGTTTGTAACATCATACTCTAAAAGACCTGAGCTGTAATTGCTGCCAAAGCTGCTTCTGCAAAGTATTGAGCAAAGGCTGCAAATTCCTATGTACATATTATGTTTTTATTGGGGCGATCGTGGCTCAAGAGTTGGGAGTTTGCCTTGTA